CAAACAAACTTACTTACAAAACAGAAACAGACTCACAGACATAAAAAACAAACTTATGGTTTCCAGGGCACAAAGTAGGTGGGAAGGGATAAATTGGGAGTTCAAGATTTGCAGACACTAACTATTATATATAAGATAGATAAACAACAAGATTATACTGTATAGCACAGGGAACTATATTCAATATCTTATAGTAACTTATGGTGAAAAAGAACATGAAAACAAATATATGTATGTTCCTATATGACTGAAGCATTCTGCTGTACACCAGAAATTGATACAACATTGTAAACTGACTATACTTCAATAAAAATATATTTTTAAAAAGAAGAGAGTAGGATAATACAGGAATACCCCATTTTATTGTGTTTTACTTTACTGTACACCACATACACACAGTGGATACCAGTCATAAGAAAAAGGAAATTGTACCTTTTGCAACTTCACAAATTGTCCTTGAGGGCATTATGCTGAGTGAAGTAAATCAGAAAAGGAAAGACAATACCTGTATGGCCTCATTGTACACCTTAAATTTACACAGTGCTGGATGTCAACAACGTCTCAAATGGCTGGAAAATTTTTTAAAGGACACAATTTTTTTAATTTGTTGAAACTTTAAAACACTGCTGAAGAACACAAAGGAAGATGTCAGCAAATGGAAGAACAAAACATGGTTTTGGACAGGAAGACTTATATTAAGATATTCTTTCTAGATAAGTTTGTAAATGTAATATGACATTAATCAAAACAGTAAGTTCTTTTGGGGGGATATAGAGCAGGAAGAGAAGCCAAACTAAATCCAAAGTTCATACTGAGAAACAATATTCTCTAGCCTTCTAGATGTTAAAATATGTATAAAGCTTCCATAAAAAGCCACAGTGTGGTCCTGGCTATTCTAGGCAGCATCATCATCATCATCATCATCATCATCATCATCATCATCAACTACCAAGTCAAGAACAAATGACAAACCAGGGGCAGGAAGAGGATCTATGGATCTATAAGTCATATCATAAATGACCAATCTTTACACTTCAATAGTTCCTGGAACATAATAAAAAGAACCACAATCTAAATACAGATAGGGAAATTATAAGAAGAGCTTACAGAAAATAGAAATGGCTCTTAAACATATGAAAAGATGTTCAACCTCATTTGAAATCAGAGAAATGTAAATGAAAATTATTTGACCTTCCACTTTTGCAACTATTAGATTAGCAAAATCCCAAAGTCAACAAAACATTTTACAAGAAAGACAAAATTGTTGGTGAGAGTACAAGTAAGTATGACTGGTATGGAGGGCAGTTTGGTAATATCTATCAAATCACAAATATCCACACTTGATCAAGCAGTTTTATTTCTTGAAATATATCCTAATTTAGCTGCACACATTTACATCAAGGTTATTCACTGCAACACTTTGAAACAATCCAAATATTTCTCATCAGAAGATTGCTTAGGTAAATGATGGCACATCCACTCAATGAATATGACAAAACTACAGGAAAAGAATGAGGAGGTTTTCCTTGTACTAACACAGAAAAATCTCCAAGACATATTGTTTAGTAAATAAAGCAAGTTTCAGATCTGTTTACATAGTATATTGTTGTCAATGTAAAAGGCAGATTAAACAAGAACATACATATAAACTCGTATTTGCTTAAAGAAACTCCAAAGAAAAACAGAAAACTAAGAGAAGTGTCAATCTAGTGGGGACATGGGAATGGGGAAAGGAAGAGAATAAAACTTTTCACTTGCATACCATTTTTTTTTCTTTTGGTGATGTTGTTAAACCTTATGAATATATTGTCTATGCACAAAATTAGATTTAAAATTTAAGTAACTTTAAAAGAAAATATAAATTACACTATTCTTAATTTGGTAAGATAATCTAAACAGACACAATGGAAGAAACAAAAAGAAAAAAATGCTAAGAATTACCATGTAGAAATGTAAAGCTTTAAACATTAAAAGATTTGCAAACAAGACTCAAAGCGAAGTAAACACTAAAACTGCCCTCCTCACTCACAAAAAAATGCAAATTAAACAAGGTGTCTATCTAATTTGCAAAATGTTATAACTTTATACTTTAAAATCGTTTCTGACATTAAAAAGGTTGCAATAATAATAATACAAACGCTTCCTGTATATCCTTAATCCAAGCTCCCTAAATATTAATATTTTGCCACATTTTCTTTATCATTCGTTATCTCAGTTGAAAATAAGCCAAGTTTTTCTGAAATCTTTGAAAGTTGATGATAATGCACATTTGCCTTAGGTATCTTAGTAATTCTTCAATCTAAGGACACTTGAAGATACAAACACACTACAATTATCAACATCAGGAAATTAATTGTGAAATCATCTACAGTGCTTTACTGACTAATGGCCTTCATCCGGTATGGATCCAATCAGGGGTCACAGGTTGTATCTGGTTATCATCTATCTGTAATCCAGAAACATTCTTCAGTTCTTCTGTCTGGCACTTTAGAACACAGGCCAGTAATTTTGCAGAATTTCTTCAATTAGGGTTTGCCTAATATTTTGTCATGATGAGACTCAGGTTATCATATTTTGGTAGGAATAACACAGTAATGAGACTGTGGGCCTCACCAGTCTCTGTCCTGATGGTGTCAACTTGCAGTAATTGTTTAAGGGAGTGTCCTCCACATTCTTCCACTGTAGAGTTACATTTTTAACTTTTGCAGTCAATAAGAATGTTGTGATTGTACGACATCTTATTTCTCACCAAGAAAACGTTAAATGATAGTGTTCATTCTGTCAGGACTACTTTCACAAGGAAGATTAAGTATAACAACCTTTCTAAGAATCAATTTAACATTTTGCGTCAGAAGTTGCTATACCTTTTAAAACAAAAAAAGTTACTAGAGCAAGTGAGCTTTTAAAAAAATCAAAGTAGATTTAAAGATTTATATCCATGAATACTTAACCACAGTGTTATTTAATTAGTAAAAAATTAGAAATGACCTAAAACATCTAACAAAAAATAACTAGTTAAATAATAGTACATCTATAAGAGAAATATTTTACAAGCGATTAGAATTAAGTTGTTGAAGAAAGAAATCAGTTAGAATAACTCTAGAACTAACAAGTCCCGGGACCTGTCCCCCATCCCTTCTGCCCCTTCAGTTGGGATGCAGCATCATTCTAAACCCATGAAACAACACCAAGACTCAGCCGCTATTTCTCACATAGTTTCATTGTCCTGATCCACAGCCTCCTCATGGCCTTCTTCACTTCAGCATTTCTAAAGGAGTAGATAACAGGGTTGAGGAGTGGGGTGATCACTGTATAAAACACAGCCACCATCTTGTCCACAGGCAGAGTGGTAGAGGTCCTCAGATAGATGAAGATGCAGGGCCCAAAGAACAAAGTGACCACAGTGATATGGGACCCACAGGTGGAGAGGGCCTTGCACCGCCCCTCAGAGCTTTGTTTCTTCACATGGAGCAAAATGACCATGTAGGAGGCTACCAGGACCACAAAGCTGATCACAGACAGGGTCCCCCCATTAGCAACAATCAGGAGACCAATGAGGAAGGTGTCAGAACAGGCAAGTTTGAGCAGAGGAAGCACATCACAGAAATAGTGGTCAATCACATTGGGGCCACAGAAAGGCAAGCGGAAGATGAGAAGGATTTGAGCCAAGGAATGCACAACGCCCCCCGCCCACGCTACTCCCGCCAGGATGGCACACACCTGCCGGTTCATGATGGTGGTGTAGTGCAGGGGCTTGCAGATGGCCGCGTAGCGGTCGTAGGCCATCACGGTGAGCAGGAAAATCTCAGTGCCAGCAAAGAAGTGCAT